CTGCCTGTAGTCCAGGCATCCCATATGGGCACCAGTTCATGTCCTAGCTGCTCCACTTCTAATCCAGTGCCCTGAGAATGGCCTGGGAAGGACAACAGACAATGGGCTTCTGCACCCATGTGAGAAAACCCAGAGGAAGCTTTTAGCTCCTGGCTTTGGCACAACCCATCCGTGGCCATTGCTGCCATCTAGGGAGTGAACCAGTGGGTCTCTCTCTGTATGTCTGTCTCTCCAAAACTTTCAAATAGATAAATCTTTAAAACAAAAAATGCCTTAGATTAATCTGATCATACCTCCCTCATCACCTTTTGTTCTTTAAGGCTAGTTTTCCAGTGTTCTAAATACCAAGCTTTGGTCCTTGGTTTTTCTCTGCCCTCCTTTCTCTGCTTTATCTTTAACCTTTCCCTCTTTACAGTATCTTCATTCTGAAAATACATTCAGAGATCTTTAAATATGTGTGTGTGATTTTTTTTTTTCCTCTGCCAGAGCCCTTCTCCTTTTTGGAAACAAATGAGTCAAGCGAGTGGCCCCGCATGACATGTTCCCTTCCCACTTTGCATTGCTTCTTCAGTGGGCCTCTTATGCTCTGGCCTCCACACTTAGCACTTTTCTGAAACTCCTTTTGCCAAGGTCATTAGTCGTTGCTTAACTTAGTGCATTCCTTATCTGCTCTCCTTGCAGCCCTTCGCCCTGTTGACCATGTCCTCCTTGAAACTTTCTCCTCTCTTGGTTTCTGTTGCCCTTTCTGTCCTCCCTGCTCGATCTTTCCTTTTTATGCTGCTTTTGGAGCTGTTTTCTTTGATGCTGCTGAACCATGGATCTTCTCCAAGGCTGTTGTTAGCCTTCCTTCCTCTTCACGTTCTGCACAGCCTCCCTGGGTGATCTCATCAGCTCCCGCAGCTTCAGCTGCTTACCACACCCAAGCTTTTTCTGTAGCTTGGCTCTCTTCCAAGATGCAAATACACAGTTGCATGTTGGCCAGTAACACTTGCAAGCCTCATGGGTACTATAAACTTGCAATCACACAGTCCAAATCAGGCCACTTGTTTGTTCCTTTGTAAAGAAGGAGCCAGTATCTCTTTCTATGAGTGCTGAATGTACTTTCCTAGTAATTGAATCAGAAGGTTGCCTTGTGAGTGTGGAAGCAGAAAGAGGGACGCAGTATAGGAAATGTTCTAGGGCCTGGCGTGATGGCTCAAATGGGTAATCCTTTGTCCTGTAGTGCCATCATCCTATATGGATACCAGTTGATGTCTCACCTGCTCTGCTTCCCATCCAGCTCCCTGATTGTGCCCTGGGAAAGCAGTCGAGGATTGCCCAAAGCCTTGGGACCCTACTCCCAAGTCAGAGACCTGAAGGGGGCTCCTGGCTCCTGGCTTTGGGTCAGCTCAGCTCTAGCCATTCTGGCCATTGGGAGAGTAAACCAGCAAATGGAATATCTTTGTTTCTGTCTCTCCTTCTCTCTGTAAATCTGCCTTTCCTAAATAAATAAATAAATAAATAAATAAATCTTTATTTAAAAAAAAAAAAAGAGAAGAAGCAGCAGCTGTTCTGACCATGCTGCATGAATGCCAAACGAGCCATTCCTTTTTTCCATAGGTGTAACTGGATATTCTTCATCCCCCTTTCCTGGACAGTATTGGGCACATCCCTCTCCTTTGATATGTTCATATCTCTTGTGTTGCTCCTCTAGTCAGAATTATTCCCCTGGACCAAGAATGCTCTCCCCACCCTCCATTCCAGCAGTTAACCCTTGAAGATAACCTGGGTTGTTTGTCTCTAATGACCAACCTTTAGTCCCTACCCCAATATATCAACTGATACTGTTTGAATGAGAAATGAGAAATCCTGCAAAAACAATTATGTTGACAGGATAATCTTTAAGACTTTAGTGTTCTGTTTTTTTCCTTTTTTATTTTATAATTTTTTTTTTAATTTTTACTATAGATGATGCTTACCTGGTAGCTCGGGATGGGAAGGATTGGGAGTCAGGGAATCGTGGCTGTGATCATTGTTTCCAAGTTTTCCATTTCTTCTTCCTCTATCTGGGGAAAGGGGAGAGGGAAGGAGAGAAGCCACACTCAGCCTCCTAGCTGCCCCAGTACCCAGGGATGGGGAACAGCTTAGCCACCCAAGACTGACCCAGGGTCCTAATGTGGCATACGCTCTGAGGATGCTGCCCGGATGATTTTGATAGTCCTGAAATATTGTTAGTCTCACCAATCCAAGAATGAGGGAACACTTTCGATGTCCACTGCTATCGTAATCCACCTTAGAATCTCCAATTGCCCAGATATTTGCTGTCATATTTGGGCTGGGGTAGTTGTCCAGTCTGTTCTGTTCTCCTTCTTCTGCTATGGTAACAGATGTCTTCTGAAGGCCCCAATAGGTTGTCATATCCTGAATGTGGATCTGGGTCAACCATCCACTACTCCGTCATTTCCACTATTGGAAAGGCAGATCAGATTTGTCGAGAGAAGGAGAGACAGAAAGATTTTCCATCTATTGGTTCACTCTCCAAATGACCACAAGGGCTGGAGCTGAGCCAATCAGAAGCCAGGAACCAGAAGCTTCTTCCAGGTCTCCCACGCAGGTGTGAGGTCCTTTCCCAGGTCACACGGAGGGAGCTGGATGCAAAGTGGAGCAGCCAGGACACAAACCAGTACACATATGGGATCCTGGAGATTGTAAAGTGAGGATTTAGCCATTGAGCCATCGCACCAAACCCTATAGTGTTCTTTTTTATTTATTTATTTATTTATTTTGACAATCTTTACATAGTTAATTGGGGTAAAAAGATCCAAGGGCTATAGGAAAGTGGGTAAGACTATTATTTCCATATTGTTTCCTTCATGTTTAAAGGAGGATATTAAGGGAGAAGGCCCACCCAGTTTCCCACCCAACCCAGGTCCCAGATGTGGGGTATGCTCTGAGGTTCTTACTCAAGTGGTTTTGATGGTTCACCAGTTAGGAATCGCTGCCAATCTTGCCACTCCAAGCATGATGAGGTCTTTGAAGAATCCACTAATTGACATAGTTCATCATAAAGTCTCCGTTTTCCCAGTATTTCTCTGCCAACATATAGCTCAGATGGTTGATTGACCTGTTCTGTCTTCTGTCTTTTCTTGGTTAGGGTTCTGAGTCCAGCATTTCAATTGGGGATATCCCCAAAGAAACTTTGTCTGAGGTGTTCCCAGACCAGATTCTTGTGTGTTCTAACAAGCACAGGGCCCGGCACAGTCCATCACCCCAATCAGCTGGTGGTTGCAATTGCTGGGTTGGTTTTGTTTCCAGCGCTGTCTTCCACTGGAACCAATGGGTGTTGCAGTCCAGCCTGGTTCTGCCCAGCACATACTTGGCCCTTGCATAAACCAGTGGGAGCTGCAGCCTAGTTAGCGACCCACACGAACCCCCACCAGGCGGTGTTCTTATGAAACAATTTCTGAATGTAAATATAGATCACATCTGAATACTTTACTGGGGTTAAGGATTCTGAATATTTAACATGATCCTTTTTCACAGTGTTGTGTCTTAGGGAGGCTCTATACATTAGGAGACTGGCAAAGAAATATTTCCTATTGGAAATACTCATATCATCCCTGCTCTGATGAAATAGCACTTGCTGGGGCCTGGCGCAGTAGCATAGTGACTTAAGTCCTCACCTTGCATGCGCCAGAATCCCATATGGGTGCTGGTTTCTGTCCTAGCTGCTCCACTTCCCTTCAGCTCAACTCTAACCATTGTGGCTACTTGGGGAGCAAACACAGCAGAAGGAAAATGTTTCTCTCCATTTCTCCTTCTCTCTGTAAATCTGACTTTGCAATTAAAAATAAATAAATCTTTAAAGATTTATTTTTTTAATTGGAAAGTCAGATATACAGAGAGGAAGATCTTCTGTCTGTTGATTCACTCCCCAACGGGCCACAACGGCCAGAGCTGTGCTGATCTGAAGCCAGGAGCCAGGAGCTCTTCTGGGTCTCCCATGTGGGTGCAGGGTCCCAAGGCTTTGGGCCATCCTCGACCGGCGTCCATATGGGATCCCTGCATGTGCAAGGTGAAGACATTAGTCTAGTCTACTGCAACTGGCCCAAAAATAAATAAACCTTAAAAAAAAAAAGAGTGGATGGGGGGGAGTGCTACGCAGTAGCCTAGTGGCTAAAGTCCTCGCTTTGCCCATGCAATGATCCCATATGGGCACCAGTTCTAATCCCAGCAGCCCTGCTTCCCATCCAACTCCCTGCTTGTGGCCTGGGAAAGCAGTCGAGGACAGCCCAGAGTATTGGGACCCTGCACCTGCATGGGAGACCCGAAAGAGCTCCAGGCTCCTGGCTTCACATTGGCTCAGCTCTGGCCATTGTGGTCACTTGGGGAGTGAATCAGCAGACAGAAGATCTTCCTCTCTGTCTCTCCTCCTCTCTGTGTATCTGACTTTGCAATAAAAAATAAATTAATAAAAAAAAAAAAAACAGGGTCTCCAGAGAAGGTCTCCCTAAGAAGCTGTTGAACTTATCTGGACAATAAGATGCTGAACTCTATACTTGGTATATGCTTGCAATGAAAGAATCTCAACTGAACTTGCACTGTGGTAATGCAACAAGGTGGAGGAATCCACCATAGGGGGAGGGTTTGGGGAGGGGTGGGGGGAATCCCAGTGCCTATAAAACTGTCACATAATGCAGTATGTGATTAATTAAATTAAAAAAAAAACCAGGGTCTCAACCATCCTCATGTTTCCCCGTCCTGCTATCATTGAGAAGCATGCTAGAATATGGGACCTTCCTGCAGCCGGGGGCCTGTTCATCGTCCGCATCAGGTTCTGCAATGCTGTCCTGGTAAGGGAAATGGCTTTGTCACCAGCACTCAGCTGGGCATGCTTCCAGGAGTTTCCATTGTCACAAGCTCACGTGTTCCATTGCTCATCGGGTAATCAGGATGTCACTGCTAAACTGAGGAAGCATTGGGGTCTCTCCGTGTTATATGTGCGTACTCTCTTCCCACAGGTCAGACACATTCTGTGTGAAAAGCATGGCAAGATTATGGAAGCCATGGAAAAGCTGAAGTCTGGAATGAAATTCAGTGAAGTGGCTGCACAATATAGCGAAGATAAAGCCAGGCAAGGGGTATGTTGCTGTTGTTTAAAATTTGCTGCCATCTTCAGAGTAAACACAAGAATGGTTTGGGTTCTGCCATTGATTGTAGCCACATTTTGGCTTAAAGTTCTTAAAAGCAGGAATGTCCCACTTGGGAAGAGTGGAATGACAGTCACTTGGGTCTAAACCTAGTCACGACCGGACTCGCACAGCTAAGCTCAGAGTGCAGCAGTACTGAGTGCTGATGTGGTCAGCTTAGGCTGAGCCTCCTGATGCAGCCCAAGTGATTCAGCAGATATAGCCCTAGCATTCATACTAGGAAAATCAAGCTACAAAACTGTTCCCTTTTCAGTGTCACTTGATATCAGCTGTCTTTTTGTGTTTTTCAGGGTGACTTGGGTTGGATGACCAGAGGGTCCATGGTGGGACCATTTCAAGAAGCAGCATTTGCCTTGCCTGTAAGTGGAATGGATAAACCTGTGTTCACAGACCCACCAGTGAAGACAAAATTTGGCTATCATATTATTATGGTTGAAGGGAGAAAATAAAATCACATAAATAAATTTGAGATGTTTTGTTTCTTTGAGAGGACTGAACAATCTTTTGCGAACTGTCAGCGTCAGCGTGAGTTTGAAAGTACAAAATAGGGCCCGGCACGATAACATAGTTAGTGGTTAAAGTCCTCACTTTGTAAGTGCCAGGATCCCATATGGTCGCCATTTCTATTTCCGGCAGCCCTGCTTCCCATCCAGCTCCCTGCTCGTGGCCTGGGAAAGCAGACCTGGCTCCTGGCTTTGGATTGGCTCAGCTCTGGCCATTGCAGCCACTTCCTCTTTCCTCCTCTCTGTGTTTCTGACTTTCCAATAAAAATAAAATAAATCTTTAAAAAAAATTGTGTTAGGCCTGGCGGCGTGGCCTAGCTGCTAAAGTCCTCACCTTGGACGTGCCAGGATCCCAAATGGGCACCGGTTCTAATCCCGGCAGCCCTGCTTCCCATCCAGCTTCCTGCTTGTGGTCTGGGAAAGCAGTCGAGGATGGCCCAAAGCCTTGGGACCCCGCACCTGCGTGGGAGACCTGGAGGAAGCTCCTGGCTTCACATTGGCTCAGCTCTGGCCATTGCGGACACTTGGGGAGTGAATCATCGGACGGAAGATCTTTCTCTCTGTCTCTCCTCTTCTCTGTATATCTGACTTTTCAATAAAAATAAATCTTTTTTAAAAAATTGTGTCTAAATAAAGGTAATACATTCTGAAAATCTCAAGTTTTCCCAACAGCTTCATATTTGTGACACTGCCTAGCTAGTGTCCTTCACTCGTGACATTCTCTCTCCCAGAATACTAAGAAAATGCATAACATAGGGGATGGCATCGTGGCATAGGAAGTTAGGTGCTGGCATCCCATGTGGGTGCTGACTCAAGTCCTCACTGCTCTACTTCCACTCTAAATCCTTGCCAATGCACCTGAGAAAGCAGCAGAAGATAGGCCAAACGCTTGCGCCCCTACGCTCAATGGACGACCTGGAAGAAACTCCCAGCACCAGACAGGCCTGGCCGTGGCCATTGTGGCTCCCTGGGAGTGAAACAACAGGTGGAAGATCTGTGTCTGCTTCGCTGTTTTAACTCTTCTAAATAAAAGTACATTTTAAAATGCAGAAAATAGATATTACAAAGGATACTGATACTAAAATACAGCAAAAAAAAAGATTCTAAATTCTAATAGCTCTCGTTATTTGAAAGGTAAGGTGACAGGTCTTTTCATTTGCTGGTTTACTTCCCAAATCGCTGCAACAGCCCAAGTGAAGCTAGGAGCCTGAAACTCCATCTGGATCTCCCACGTGGGTGACAGAGGCCTATTAATAAGTACCTGGTCCATCTTCTGCTGCTTTCCCAGTCACAGCGGCAGGAAGCTAGCTTGGAACCGGGACAGTCGAGACAAAACCAGTGCTCCTCATTTGGGATGCTGGGATCAAAGTTAGCTTAATCCATGACACCATGACACCAGTCCATCTGCCTCTATGATAAAGCAGTATTGAATGGCAAGACTAAAAGCCAGTGTTTCTGCAGTGGTAAATATCAATGGTATTTTGAGGTAACTGCGATAATCAAAGTTTGTATAATTTATATTGCTCATAAAGCCACAGTTACTCCTAATACTTGTACCGTCTGTTGCTTAGATTCATAGCGAAAGGAAATGTTAAATTCCAGATACAGGCTAGAGGAGGGAAAAGATAGTTTCAATTTATTTTCCTTCAGGTGTAGACACTTGAATGCTATGAATTACATGCTTTGGATATTACTGGAATGTTCACCATTGTCCATGTTTTCCCCCAAACAAAAATAGTAATTATACACACCCAAGGAGCACATTTTGTTTCTTCCCCTAGGAACCAACCCAGCCTCAAGGCAGGCAAACAAGTCATGAGGAATTTATTAACGGGATTCTACAAACATGCATATGCTTGATGGAAGACACTGAAAAACATGCAGGGTTACAACCACCTGCACTGCAAGCGGAAACGCATGGGGAGACGATGATGACTTGAGCTTAGAAATTATTTCAATGTGCTTGAAAAGCAGAGCAAGCATTAGGGAAATCTTCCATCCTCTGGTTACTTCCCCAAATAACCGCAACCAGAGCTGGGCCAAGCCAAAGGCAGACGGCTGGAACTTCAGTCAGGCCTTCTGCATGGGTGATGAGGCCCAAGCACTTGAGTCGTTACCTGCAGCCTCCCAGGACCCATAACAAAAAGCTGTATTGGAAGCACAGCAGCCAGGAGGTGAGCTGGCACTTCAACTTGGGACCCGATGCAGTAGCCTAGAGGCTAAAGTCCTCACCTTGAACGTACCAGGATCCCATATGATCACCGGTTCTAGTCCCAATGGTTGCACTTCCCATCCAGCTCCCTGCTTGTGGCCTGGGAAGGCAGTGGAGGACGGCCCAAAGCCTTGGGACCCTGCACCCGTGTGGGAGACCTGGAGGAAGAGTATCAGGTTTCCTGGCTTCAGATCGACACAGCATCGGTCATTGCGGTCACTTGGAAGTGAATCATCAGATGGAAAATCTTCCTCTCTGTCTCTCCTCCTCTTAACCTGTAATTTTTTGTTTGGTTGTTTGTTATTTTTTGAACCTGTCATTGATACTGTCTCAACCCAGATGTTTCGAAGAAGGGAACTTGCATTATTTTTAACATATTGTTTACCCAATACTATGTCAATTAATTCCATAATGTTGTATATTGATACTGAGGCCTTGTTGGGGCTTTTAACTGACCGGATCTTTACTCTGTTAGACCTATCTTCAGACCATAGAAGGTCTCCCCAAGAGGCCACTGAACTTATCTGGACAATAAGACGCTGAACTTTATGCTAGGCATGTGTTTGCAAGCAATGAATCTCAACTGAACTTGAACTATGGTTATGCAACAAGGTGGAGGAATCCACCATGGGGGGAGGGGTATGGGAGGGGTGGGGGGAATCCCCAGCGCCTATAAAACTGTACTACATAATACAAGGTAAGCAACAATAAAAAAAAAAAATCTACAGAGACAGAAAGAACAAGGAGAGATCTTCCATCTTTTCACTCTCCAAATGGCCACAATAGCCGGTGCTGTGCCACGCTGAAGCCAGGAGCCCAGTACATCCTCCGCTTTCCTGTGTGGGTGCAGGGGCCCAAGCACTTGGGCCATCATCCATTGCCTTCCCAAGCACATTGTCAGGGAGCTGGATTGAAGTGCAGCAGCCAGGAATTGAACCATAACCACATGGGATGCTGGCAATGGAAATGAAGGCTCAATCTGCTATGCCATTTTATTTTCAAAAATGAGTTGGGGCAGGTGCTTGACCCAGAAAGGGCCCATAGCCCAAATGAGTGCCTGGGCTTGATACCTTCTACCTCTCCTAACCCCAACTTCCTCCTAATGCAGATCCTGGAGATTTGGTTCTTGCCACTCATGTGGGAAGCTTGGGTTGAGCTCTAAACTCCCAGTTATGCTCCAGTTGCAGGTACCCAGAGAGTGATTCTAGTTTTATTTAATTTTATTTTATTCTATTTTTACTTCTTTTTAAATTATTATCATCATTCTATGATATAGCTCCATAGGTATTAGGATTTCCCCTGCCCCCTCCCCAAATCTTCTCCCAACCCTGAATTCCCCTATATTATTACTATAGCATAGCTCTTCATAAACAGCCACATGTTCATCATTGCATGCATGGACAATGGCAGAGAGTTCAGCATCCAATTGTCAAGATACAGCTAATAGTTTCATTGGGAGTCCATCTTTGATCTGGGTGTCCATCTTTGATGTGGAAGTGGAGATGCACACTGCACTGCAGCCTCACATCTGGACATGTTAGTCTCCATTACACAGGCACCACACATCCTTCTTAAATGAAAAAGCCACAATACAAAATCAACAACAGGAAGAAACAGAAATTTACGCCACCATGAATTTCTCAAGAGGTTTTGATAGTTCAGTAGTCCTGAATTGCTGGCGATCCTGGCACTTCAATCACAATGAAATCTCTCCCGAATCCTCTGGCTGCTGCAGTCCACCTTAGTGTCTCCGTCTGCCCAGCTCTTCACTGCCACCGTTTGTCTGGGGTAGTTGGTCAATTTGTTCTGTCCTCCGTCCTCTGCCATGGTATCAGGTGTCCTCTGGAGGCTCCAATGTACTGCCAGAGCCTCCATGTACATTTGGATACGCTGTCCTCTGCTCCATCTGAGCCACTGAGGAGGCCCAGCTCTGGCACATGCACTCCATGGTCAGACTATGGAACCTGCAATTCTCTCCATGGTTAGGGTTCTGAGTCCAGCGGTTCAGTTGATAGGGAATTGCCAAAGAAGCCTCATCTGAGGCCATCCAGACCTGATTCTTGCGTGTGTTTGCCAATACATGGTCCGGCACAGTCTGTCACCCAAATTGGCCTATGCACACACTGGTAGTTGCAGTTGCTGGGTTAGCTTTGTCTCCAGTCCTGTGTTTTACACAAACCAATGGGTATTGGAGCCCAGCCTGATCCTGCCCACCCACCCTCGGCCTTCACGCAAACCAGTAGGAGCTTAAGTATAGTCAGAGTGACCCACAAAAACCCCACCAGGCCCGCCCCTACCCTGGTTACCGTGCTTGCCAGTATGTACAGCAGACTGGTCCCATCTGTCCCATATCCCATTCATCTCTTGTATATGTTGATGGGCATTGAAACCCAGTTCGTCCCAACCAGCCTCACTATCCTATCCACACTGGTGCCAGTGAATACCACCATCTGTCTAGCCATGCCTGCGTTTGACAGAATTTGACCCCGTGCCTGCATCTGCCAGCTGATGCTGCAGCAAAGCCCAACTGACCCACACCGACACTGGCTTATGTATGTACTAGAAGGTACAGTCAGCCCAGCCTGTATTCTCCCTGATCCAGCTCATATGTAGGCCATCGGATGTGGCCCTGCCCAGCCTGATCTGCCCCCATCCCAGCTCTCATGCTCACCAGTGGGAGTAGTGGCACAGCAGGGGGGCCTTCATGGCCCCCTCACTGGGGCCATCCCCACCACCCCCAAGGTTTCACATGTGCTGGTTGGGTGCTGCAGCCCAGTCTGGCACAGCCCGCCTCACCTCGGCATTTGCCAGTAGGTGCTATATTCTGGCCAGGCCAGGCCCACCCCCAATTCCAACTCACGCTGATGGGGGCTATAGCCTAGCCCAGCCCTGCCAGACCCCAGTCCTGGCCCTCATGTGGACTGGCTGGTATTGCACCCTGACCTGGCCTGACACACACTCCATTCTGGCACTTGGATTTGCCAGTGGGTGATATGGACTGACCCAGCCTGGCCTGCCCCAGACCTGTGCCAAATGTATGCTGGTGGGTACCGTATTTTGTCCTGGTCTGGACTGCTCCTCATTTTAAAAATAATCACCTGCAGGCAGTGTGTCCTGACAGAGGAGTTCCCCAAGCTCCTCCATCAGAACCTCTCTCAATGCCAGATCTCGCGCACACCAGTGGGTCCATGGGCCAGTCCTACTTAGTCCACCTCCTGTCCTAGCAGGAACAGTGGCCTTTCCTGACCAGCCCTCACCCATTCTGGCTCTTGTGTTGGGATCTACAGCCCAGCCAAGCATGGTACACACCCAGACACAGCTCACACATGGCTCAGCAGGAGCAGAGACCTAGGCTAGATCATCCTACACCCACCCTGGTTCTCATGAGCTCCAGTGGGTGCTGGAGTCTAGTCCAGTCTGGCACATCCCAGACCCAGTCCATATTAATGCCGAGGTACCCTGCAGCCATATCCAAACCAGACCGCAGCCTCCACCCTGGCCCTCGTCCTCACCAATGGAATCACTCCCTGGCCAGGGGTCTCCTTACCTCCCCAACCAGGCCTGCTCCCATCCACAGATCTTGTGCATGCCAGTGGTTGCTCTGACCCAGTCTGTCATAGCTCCTCATCTATCTTAGCCTTTGCCCTCAGATGCTGCATCCTGGCCTGGCCCAGCCAGCCTCCAGTCCTAACTCTCACTGGCAGATGCTATAACCTGGCCCTACTCAGTCAGCTCCCATCCCTGACTCATGTGAACTAGTAGGTGTGATACCCTAGCCTGGCATAACCTGTACTCCATCCTGGTTTCTGCATTTGCCAGTGGGCTGAGTTCTGTTCAGCTCTGTCTGCCCCACCCCCTTCCAAAACCAACCCACACACTTGCCAAAGGATGGGGCTACTTTGCCCAGCTTGCCCACCCCCTAGGTCTATAACACATGTTCACCAGTGAGAGCTATGGCCCGGTAGGGGAGTTTCCCAGGTTCCCCCACTCAGCCCACTCCCAAACCCAGATTTCACATGCTCCAGCAGGTACTAGGCCCTTGCCTGGCATAATCTGCCCCTCCATCTTGGCGTTTGTATGCTCTTTTGGATGTTGTGGGCAGCCCCACCCCACCCGTTTCAGGAGGCACATGCACATGCAGGTGCTGCAGCTTGGACCTGCCCAGCCTATTATCAGCCTCAGTACCTGTGAGTGTTGGCGGATTCCATGTTCTCTCCTAGTTCAGCCAGTCACCACCCCAACTCTTGAGCTAACCAGCGGGACTTGCATTTCCATAGGGTAGGGCCCACTTATCCCCACAGGATCTACCCCCAGGCCTGGTTCTCCTGCATGCTGGTTAGTGTCATGACCCTGTCTAATGTGATCTGTCCCATTTCAACACTCAGTCAGGTACTGGGTTCTAACTCTGTCTGCTAGATAGGCCCCCAGCCATAGCTTTCCTGTGGGGTGGCATGTGGCGGTCAGTGATGTTCTGCGCTAACAAGCCCATCTCAGGTCTCCCATGTGGGCTGGTAAATTATTCTGACCCATACATAATCTTCCAACCTCTCCTCTCCATACCATCAGGCCTCAGTCCCCTCACTTACCAGCCAGTGCAATGGTCCTATTGTTATGTGTTCCTCAGGATTCATTCCTCTCTTATTACATACAGCGTCTGTATCCATGAATGTCCCTGGGCAGTAATGTCACCCCCAAGCCCAAGTCCCCAGAGCTCATCAGCGGGTAGCCAGTGGGCAAAGCCCCGGTGCCTGAGTAAAGATGGTGCTCGCTGCTGTAAAAGCAGCCGGGTGCAGCTTGCGCCCTCCATTCATCAGCCAAAATTGGTTGATGAAGTGGAGGTTCTGCTCCACATGCCTGGCCCGCCTTTTAAAAGAAGAAATCATATATATTCAGGATTGGTTTTGTGTTGCAGCAAATTAATCTGCCACTTTTGACACATCATCCCATATTGAAGCACCAGTTTGAGTCTTAGCTGTTCTGCTTCCAGTCCAACCCTGCTAATGTCCCTGGGAAAGCAGATGATTTAGGCCCCTGTCACCTGTATGGAGTTCCTTATTCCTGGCTTTGGCCTGACCCAGCTGCAACCACCAAAAGCCAGTTGGAAAGTGAACAAGCCAATGGAAGTTCTCTCTTGATTGCTCAAATTGCCTTTCAAGTTTAAAAAAAAAAAAAGAAATAACCTATTTCTCTTGTAAGCTGTTTGAACTTGTTCATTTGGGAAACTGAAATAGCACGTTTCCATCCACTCATTCACTCTGCAAATGCTTACAACAATCTCTAATCAGAACCGAAGCCAGAAGCCAAGAACTCAATCCGGGTTTCCCACATAGGCAGCAGCCAATAACTTGTACTATCACTGCTGTCTTCCAAGGTCTGCAGCAGCCGGAAGCTGGAGTCAGGAGTGGGAGGCAGACCTGGGCACTTCAACATGGGAATACTGGTCTTTTCAATACTTGTTTGAAAGACAGTTAAAGATCTTTCATTCACTTGTTTATTCCCCAAATGGCTGTGGCTGGACCAGCAGACACCAGGAGCTCTACTCAGGTGCAATGGCAAGGGCACAAGCACTTGGGCCACATTTTGCTTTCCATGTTTTAGCAAGGTGCACACTGAGAGTAGAGTTGACTGTAGTGAACCAGCATATGTGGCATAACTTGCACCCTGGGACAAGAGTCTCTGATGTTTTGGCTGCTAGGCCACATACCTGCCCCTCAAACCTTTATTTGCAATATTTTGTAATAAACATGAAAATACTGGTGTGTATAGCACTTCATTTGTAAGTAACTTTTAACGTGTATGTGACATAATGAAAAATGTGGCCTTTGATTCTTGACCTAAAACCCTTGGAATCCCCTAAATGATGATTGTCTGGTCCCCTAAAGAGAGAGAGGACTATTTACTGGAAAATAGGACTGGTTGCCACAAAGATTGAGACATGATTAGAAGGTTGGAACTTTCAGCCACACCCTCAACCTCCAGGGAAGGGAAAGCAGCTAGACTGAGTGAATCACCAATGGTTAGTTGCCCAGGTAAAACCTCCACACAAGGCTTTAAATAGTGGGAAGCTGTGTCACATAACACATAAACATGCTAGGTAGTGTGCCTAGAGGGCATGCTTTGCCCTAGGCCTCTCTTCCCTTTGGCTCTGAGTTGCATTCCTTATAATAAATTGGTAATAAGTAAACTCCTGAGTTCTATGAACTTCTGTAGGAGAGGGTCAGGAGAATCACCAAATTCAACAGAAATGTGGATAACCTGATAATTGAGTAATTAGAAGTGACCTGAGGTAAGGGCAGTTTTTTGGGAGTCTGGTGCTAACCTCCAGGTAGTTAGCATCAGAACTGAATTACAGGACACCCAGTTGCTATCATTAGAATGTTTGAGAATTGCTTGGAGTGGAAAAGCCTTATATACTTGGTATCAGAAGTACTGCAAAGCAAAAATAATTCAGTGTATTACAGTGGCTTGTCATTAGTTAATACAAGATAAAAAATGTTTTACTCTTGTGTCAATATAGGCAGATCCCAGCATGATGACACTTAGTTTTCTCAAAAATGAAAATGCCATCCCCCTTCTACCTCAAAGGACTGTGGTAAGGATTAAAGAAGCCTGTGTAGAATACCAAGTACATAGCAGGCACTTGACAAATGATACAAAGATACTTCAGAGTTCATGGAAACCAGAATTAAAAGTTTATTTCAGTGCAATCATTTTTTTATATAAGCATTTTTCTTGATGACCTTTTTGAAGAACTCAGTCTCTTTGGTGACAGTGTAGAGACTGCTATACTGCACTTCATGTTTCTGAGAGGGAATGAAACTCCCTTTCAGTCTATAACTAAGCAGGCATATGTCAAAATAACATATGCAAATATAGAAAAGGAGAACTCTTAAATGATTTGCTAAATAGTCAGCAAAGTGACTCCAGAGAGGCTAGCAATAACAATGATAAAGAACCCTAGCACCAGGCACCCAACCTAGTGCCATATTAAACTGGAAGCATACAATAGCATGCCAATAAGGAACTTAAATTCATAACACTAATGACAAGCTCCAACATAAACTAAGGAACAGAAGTATACCGAGGCCCACGTAGACACCATAAATCCTTCCCAGAAATGATCATGAGCACTGAAGCCTGCACACACTTGACCCTGAGTATTCAATTTGTCCATTATCCCCTACCCAATAAAGGGGGCAACTAAACTGGGTTGGCATGCAATTCTCATGACGTGCATCTTGCCAAACAAGACTGCCTGCATTTGCTTCTGAACGTGTATCTTCTACATCTAAATAATCCTGTTCCCTTTCTTGAACTTTGAGTCTCGGCTTTGAATTCTCCCACACAGAGGCTAGAACTTGGAATAAATCCAGCTTTCCCATCATCTCCGATGAAAGAAGGTAAATGACGAAAACACTTGAGAAAAGTTATTTTAATTTTCTTATCTGAACTATACTACACAAAGTTGATCATTTTGGGGGTAAAACTTAGAAAATTTCATCTATGAAGTGTTAATTAAAAACCAAACTTAACTATAATTCTGTTAGTTTTCTACAGCATTCCTGAAAGAAAAATATAACAATATTCAACTGATGAAGTATTAACATAGTGCTCAGAATACCAGGATATATGTATTCCAGGAAGTGAGAGGGAGTAAAAACGGGAGGGTAGAGACATAAGTTGCTTTTTGAGCTCTTTCTTAAGTCTAGATGTTTCATGCTCCCAAAGATAACATTTATGGCATGAAAAAATTCCCTTATACAGTTTCGCTTTAAAACACAATAAACAGGTTACTAACTCAGGTGTTATTAAGTTGCTTATACAAACTTAAAGTCATAAGCATGACTTCAGGATCTGCACTTTTTATGTCAAGTGCTTTAACAAGGCAGTTTAGGGCCTCCTGTATTTTTCCACACTCCTTAAGTTCTTTTCCACGCTTTACAAGAGTCTCATAGTCATCTGTAGCCTCAGCTGCCTCATTCTGAGGAGAAGCAATCAGCTGTTCAGCTGACAAAGGCTCAGGGTCGGCAGGAGAGGGCTCCAGCGCTGAAGCACCAGGCTTAGACACAGATAAGCCACTGGACTTGCTTTCTGAAGACAGTGTTTCTCTCTCTCCGGAAGGATCCTCTTCTATATACTCAGAGCCTTCATCACTGCTTTCCTCTGCTCCTTCTCCCGGATCATCTTCAGCCATTTTTGCTTCACTGTTGTTATCAAGTCTCTCCTCCAGATCTTCCACGTGGTCTAAGACCACATTAATAAGAGACCTCCTAGAAGCCAGAGACCTTCTAGAGTTTTTAGACTTATCTTCACTACCAGGTATTTTAGGTGAGAATAAACTTCCAAGCTGACTTGTGTCATTTTTCGGAGTTGAAGCATCAAATTGTTTAACAGCTGAGAATGGAAAGGGAGATGTGCTGAATGGACTTGGGCTTGAAGTACCTTTAACTGAATCATCCTCTTCATCATCTGAAAAAATTCTTCTAGCCTTACTTCTGCTTTTAACATTAACCGCAACTTCTTCTGGTTCACTGTCTTGCTCTGAAAAATCCAAAGTGACACACTCTTTGCCACGCACAGACTCCGCACTGGACTGAGCTGCAGAGCCACACAAACTTTTCTCTTCCTCGACATGTTCCAAAGATTGACCAGGAGTTTCTCTATTGTCTACAGAGTCTTCCAAGAAAAGATTGAAATCACATGCATACTGTAGTGAAGATGCTAAAGGTTCCTCTTCCAACTTGGCCACACTTGCTTGAGCATCTTGCAGTACGCTATGGGATGCTGACAAATCATCATGTATTTCAATAACAGATGTATTCGATTCTGTATTTTGATTTTCGTGTGTTCTGGGATTAATAGAGTAGGAACTGCAATGGTGTAAAATCTCATCTTTTAGTAGATCTAAATTTGGTCCAGGATCAGCTCTGCCAAGTAAATCAGAACTTCCCAGAGAGTTTTCCGGTAGTGCCTCCTGCTTAGACCCCTCTGGTAATGCCTCTTCCTGTAGAGCCTCCTTTTCAGTGGCAAAGCTCTTGACTGTTCCCAGTACAGAGTCAGTCCAAATTTCTTCTACACTTCCAGACCCCTCGGTAGTTACAGAGTCAGCATTAAATGTACTTTCATGTGGATCCCTCCCACCTTGCTGGGAAGTAATGTTCATCATTATAGTGGAAAGATTTTTTGTCTCACTCTCTTCAGGAAGATCATCAATGGTTACACTTGCCATTTGATAACTGATATCTTCTTCCTGGGTGTAATGAGTAATAAGAGGTGAAGGCTGAGAGTGTGGTTTATTCAATTTAGGCTGTTTCTTCTTTGTTTGAGAAGGAAATACAGTTGCTGCTCTTTGCCAACTCTCCTTGTATCCGGTTGTCTGTCTTTCCGCTGGATTTTGAGACTCTGCTTCAACAAGGAATTGAGCTTTCTGAACCCTCTGTTGAATATAGTGAGATTCTTCTATCACATCAAGCTCTTCTTTAACAGACAGATCATGTGTATACATCAAATCATGGTCTGAGATGCCAGCTATCCCCAAAGAATGAAGGAAGGCAATATGTTCATCTAGATTCTTATCAGATTTCCTCTGAGCAGCATGCAGAGCCTGAAGCTGCAGCTGGGTTACAGAGTTTTGAAGATCCTCAATCGTAAACAGCTCTCTCAATTCTTGTTTAGTAAAATATCGGAAAGGGTTCTTCTTATCACCTGTAGTTTGTCTTATCAATGAGTCTTTGAAAACCTGCCTTCTGTATATTTTTTCCTCTACGGTGCCACAAGTGATCAGCCTATAAACCACCACATTTTCTTTCTGTCCAATTCGGTAAACTCTATCCACAGCTTGAGCATCAGTTGCAGGATTCCAGCTCGGATCAAAAATGACCACTCTAGTTGCTGCAGTTAATGTTAACCCAACACCACCTATTTGAGTAGTAAGCAGAAAAACAGAATAATCTTTATTTTGCTGGAATAAGTTAATTCTTTTTTCTCTTTCTAAAAGATGAGTGACTGTTCCATCAATTCGCAATAGCTTAAAGTGCCTATTCTTTAGGAGGCGCTCAATGATATTTAGAATCTGTCTCGATTGGGAAAACACCAGAGTTTGATGTCCTTCATCTCTTAGTCTTGTCAGCAGGTCCATTAGGAATATCATTTTTCCAGATTCTTCCATTAATGCATCATCAGGTATTTGATCAATAGGGTACATACCTGAGGACTCTTCCTCCTCAATTTCATCTTGATCAGAAAATCTTATAGTCCCCAGATTTAGCAAATGACAAGCCCGTGCAGACAGCAACCTAGGGTGATCACATAGCTTCTTTAGGACACCTAGCTCAGCCAAAGGTGAGCGTGTCTCCATTAACAACTCCTTGATATGATCTAAAGACACAAACTTCCTGTATATTTCTTCTTGCAAAGGCACAAGGCGTATCCAAATAATTAAATCATTTTTCCTGGAAAGTGAAGGCATTTCACAAATGGCATCAACATCTGGATTCTTTTCACAGAGTCTGACCTCTGGACTGCTTGACTTTTTCTTCTGTACTTCTTCTTTTGTCCTCCTCAGGAAATAGGGTTTTATGATTGTCATTAGGTTTTCAGATATTTTAAATCCTAAGGCCTTTTCCCCTGGGGTGGCATCTTTCTCTCTTGCTCTAGTAATAGGAGTTTCATACTCCATTTTGAAAGTTTTCAGTGTTCCTAGCAGAGAACCCTGACAGGCAAAATCAAATAGGGCCCACAGTTCTTGTAAATTATTCTGGATGGGTGTTCCTGTAAGTAGGAGGCGATTCCTTGCAGGGATAGCGCGGGCACATACTGCTGACTTAGTAGATGAGGTTTTTATTTTATGCGCTTCGTCAAGGATGACATAGTCCCACATAAACTCATGCCCATTAAAGCTTGAAAGCTGCTGCCAATTATTGATTAACATTTGATATGTGGTGATAATGACACCATTCCTTTGCTGAATCCGGTTGAGATTTCTGGTGCGTTCATCCTTGCTATGACCATGAAAGGTTTTGATTCTCATTCCAGGAGTCCACTTGACAAATTCTTTCACCCACGTGCTAATAAGATTGGTTGGCATGATCAGCAGCACATGATTCACAAGTGAAGCATCAAACATACCAGAAAGGAAAGCAATGATCTGAACAGTCTTCCCTAATCCCATATCATCTGCCAAAATACCACCTTTTCTTCCCTCCTTGTACAGGCTATAGAGGAAAGCTATGCCTTCCTTCTGATGCTCAAAGAGTTGGTTGTGCAGTTCTCGATAGAGCAGCAGACCTGAATTGCACACATCTGTAAATTCATCATCTACATTTTCTGCCAATTCCTCCAACGCTTCTTGTATTTTTTGGATTCTGCTCATCACCTTTTCGTTGGGAAAAATGTCCTTTGCCAAGTTGAAAAGTTTAAGTGCTTCTTCCAGATCTCCATTCTTAGTTGCTTCTTTGGCCTCTTTCACATATCTATAAATAAGGTTAAAAAGATATATGTAAGGTTAGGAGAAAAGGAAGGAAACATTGAACATTCAGTGTAAGAATACTCTGGAGTTCACTTTGGAATAAAAACTGCACAATTTTAATATTTTCCATCTAGAATGGAAAAGGCTAGCACAGAAAATGCCAATGAAAGCTGACATCATGTAAGACACAAATATCCACCAGACACTGCCAGCACACCTTGAGGCACTAATTGTGGAGAATGAAAGTATAAAGGTATTTCAGAAAACCTGCCAACCATGAGAAACATGGGTTGATAATTTTTTGTAAAAGATACATAAATAGGAAGAATAAATGGGCACTTCTCAGGCCTATTTTATTGACCTCTGAGTTGCCTTTAAGATTAGTTATCAGGGCCAGGTTGCAGTAGCCTAGTGGCTAAAGTCCTCGCCTTGCACGTGTCGGCTATAATCCTGGCAGCCTCACCTCCCTTCCAGCTTCCTGCTTGTGGCCTGGGAAAGCAGTGGAGGACGGCCCAAGGCCCTGGAGCCCTGCACCCTCGTGGGAGACCCAGAAGCAGCTCCAGGCTCCTGGCTTCGGACAGGTACAGCTTGGGCTGTTGCAGCCACTTGGGGAGTGAATCATCGGACAGGAGATCTTCCTGTCTTTCCTCCACTCTGTGTATCTAACTTTCCAATAAAATAAAAGTCCTTCTGCTTCTACCAATTTCCTACAGATTTTTCCTAATTTTCCTCCTCCATCACTGGCCATTTCCTCTTTTTCTTGAACTTTCATTCTTCCTCCCAGAAGAAGATTCAGTCCTGGAACCTCTTCTTACTGCTTATATTCTCTCCTCAGGCTTTCCCAGAGCCTCTACTCATATCTTACACACAAAGGACTCCCAGGTCACTCTCTCCAACCCAAGCTAGATCTGTATCCACATTCCAACTGCCGTCTGAACATCTCCATTTGAAAGTTTCACAGGCACCCAAAATTTAGTTCATCCCAAGTAACACCATTACTTCCCCTCTAAAAATATACTCCATGTGTTTGGTAGTAGATGACACTATCATTCACTTAACCACCCAAACTTAGAATCTGAAGAGCATCCTTGACCACGCCCCAAATATGAAGCATCTTTCACCTTGCCCCTCTTTTATGCCATCCACCCTGTGAGTAGCTCAAGTCCTACTCAGCTTATTGCCCAAATACAACCTCTTTATCTCCATCTCCACTACCACTTCTGAGACCCAAGTCATCATCATCTCTGGCCTGGAATTTCAACTTCCAACTCGCTGGTTTCCCTATATCTGTCTTGCCCCTTCCAACAAAGCCCTTATATATAGTCATCAATATCAGCTTAATGAATAAAAGAAAACGGGGCCAACATTGTTGTATAATGTGTAAAAGCACTGCCTATGATGCCGGCATCCCATATGGATGCCAGTTTAAGTCCTGACTGTTCCACTTTCAATTCAGCTCCCTAGTAATATGCCTGAGAAAGCAACAAAGGATGGTCCAACTATTAGGACACCTGCACCCATGTGGGAGACCTGAAACAAACTCCTGGATCCTGGCTTCAGATCATTCCAGTTCTGACTGCTGCAGGTATTTGGAGTGAACCAACAGATGGAAGATCTCTCTCTCCTCTGTAACTCTTTCAAATAAATAAATCCTTAAAAAAAAAAATAAAATAATGTGATTCCTCCCCTAAAAGTCTTCAGTGGTTTACAATATTTACTGATTTCAATAAAGATGTCAAAAAAAGTCACTGACAAAAGATGACCAGTCTCTTCAACTGGATGCCCACATGCAAAAGCATGAAACAGGATCCCCTCATCTCACACCACACACAAAAATTAACACAAAATAGATCAAATGCCTAAATATGAGAGTTAAAGCTATAAGACCTAGAAGAAAATCCAGATGCCAATCTCATACATTTTTCATCACTGTAACTAAATACCTGTTATAGGCTATTTATGAAAAATAAAGGCTTATTTTGGTTCATGATTTCTGAAGTTCACAGTCTAAGACTGGGTGGCTCTTGTTGGCCTGACAGCTAATGAGGATGATAGAAGGTGGAACATCTGCAGAGGAAGGATCACATGGTGAACCAGGAAGCACAGAGTAAGAATGGCTGGGTCCAACTCAAGGTTATATAACCAGCACTCTAGCACATCTCCAATGTCTTAAGGAACTCCACTAGATCTACCCTGGAAATTATAATTGCATTGATCCTTGACTGAGATGTCATAGTCTGGGTGAATTGCAGGGCCAAATATCATTCAAACTGTAGCACCCTGGATTTGGCAATAATTTCTTAGATATGATGCTGAACACACAAACAACCCAGGTGTGTGTGGGGGGTGGGGAGATTGTAGATTGCCAAATAAGGACATGAAAAGATGTTCAACAGTTACTTATCAGGGAAATTCAACCAAACCAGAGAGTTATCACTTCATCAGCCATGAGGATGACTGCCAGGGGGAAGGAAGGGCTCAGGGAGTGGGAGCAGTTAAAGGCATGTTTGACAGGGGAGGAATGACTTCTGGGGACTTCCATGGACCAGGCCACTACACTAATAAATAGGCAAGGGATTTGAAACGGAGTAGTTTTTTAGAGAAGGAACACCAGAGGGCATGTCGGGTTTGGCCAAAGCAACTGCCCATGTGGGAGATACTACGGTTTGCCACCTCCTGGTACATACAAAAGCTGGAGCTGGGGGACATGTCTGTCTGAGCTAGACCACAGTACCTGCTGTGAGTGTCAGAGCAGGGGGCGAACCACATCAAGCTAGACCACAGCACCCACCAGAACACAAGAGAACCAGGTCTGGGAGCAGAAACACCAGCCAGTTTGCACAGAAAGTTACAGGTGGTAACAGGCTGAGCCAGGCTGGACAGCAGGACCTAACACAGGTAGTTGGTGGGCTGGGCCAGGCTGCAGCCCCCACTGGCACATAAAAGGCTAGGACTGAGGGCAGTCTATGCAAAGCAGGGCCGCAGCACCAACTGCCACACATGAGATCCAGGGCTGGGAATGGGCTTGTTAGGAGAACTTGGGGAACTCCCCTGCCAGGCCTGCTTCCCAACATCAGGATCTCTAAAGCAAAATCAAATGATTGTCCGCCAGCCCCAGGTGCTGACATAGTTTGATAGCAAGGGATGGCCCCCTTCCCACCCTACCATCCCATGGACACAGGGAAAAAAAAAAAAGAAAAAAAAAATCTGTTCCTCTCATCCTCTTCTATACCTCAACCCTCGTCACCATAATCAGAGATCCACATGAGCAAGCATCCCTCAACTATGTAACTAATGTTTTAAAAAGTTGCACAGAAATTAGACCAGTGTTGTGGCACTGCATGTCAAGCACCACTTGGGATGTCTACAACTTATTTCACAGTGCCAGTTCCAAGTCCCAGTACCTCTGCTTCTGTTCCAGTTTCCTGCTAATAAACACCGTTGGAGACAAAAGATGAAAAACCAGGGCCCGGCACGGTGGCGCAAGTGGTTAAGGTCCTCGCCTTGCACACCCGGGATCCCATATGGACACCAGTTCTATCCCGGCAGCCCCGCTTCCCTTCCAGCTCCCTGCCTGTGGCCTGGGAAAGCAGTCCAGGACGGCCCAAAGCTTTGGGAACCTGCACCCGCGTGGGAGACCCGGAAGAGGCTCCTGGCTTCGGATCGGCATAGCACTGGCCATTGGGCTCACTTGGGGAGTGAATCATTGGACGGAAGATCTTCCTCTCTGTCTCTCCTCTCTGTATATCCGCCTTTCCAATAAAAACATAATAAAAATAAATCTTTAAAAAAAAAAAGATGAAAAACCAAACAGGGTACAACGCAGTAGCCTAGTGGCTAAAGTCCTCATCTTGCACATGCCAAGACCCCATATGGGTGCCAGTTTGTGTCCCAGTGGCCCATCCAACTTCCTGCCTGTGACCTGGGTAAGCAGCTGAGGACAGCTTAAATCCTTTGGATCCTACACCCACGTGGGAGACCTGAAAGAAGTTCCTTGCTCCTGGCTCCTGGCTCCAGATTGACTCAGCTCCAGCCATTGTGGCCACTTGGGGAGTGAATGAGCGGACAGAAGATCTCTGTAAATCTGACTTTCCAATAAAAATAAATAAATCTTAAAAAAAAAAAAAAACCAAACACAAATTTGGATTTGTGTTACCAACATAGGAGATGCAGATGTAGTTCTTGGTTCCTTGCTTTAACTTGGCCCAAACTGACTACTACAGACATTTAGGGAATGAAATCAACTCTGCCTTTCAAATAAGTAAATATTTTTATTTAACTTACACACTGAATTTTAATGCAAGAATTCCACTCCTAGATACATGCTCAAGAAAGGAATAAAAATATTCTATGTTAATACAATGGGATATCATGTACCCATAAAATGGAATGAATACTGACTCATGCTACAACTGGATGAACCTTGAAAACATTATGTGACACAAAAGAAAACCATTCACTTGGGGCCAGCACTAGGACATAAAGGATAAGGCCATTGCCTGTGGCATCAGCATCCCACATGGGCACTGGTTCAAATCCTGGCAGCTCCACTTCCAACCCAGCTCTGCAAATGCACCTGGGAAAGCAGCTGAAGATGACCCAAGTGCTTGGGACCCTGCATTCACAAAGCAGATCCAGAAGATGCTCTAGCTTCAGACTGGTCTAGTTCCAGCTGTTGTGGTCATCTGAAAACTGAACCACTGGACAGAACTCTCTGCTTTTCCTTCTGTCTGTAACTCTTTCAAATAAATAAAAACAAATGTAAAAAAAGAAACCGTTCACAAAGTAGTCAACATCATATGGCACTGAGATATTTGAGCATAAAAATTACATAAAATAAGCAGTAATTTTATAGTAAATTATTTTTTATGATGTTTACATTGTTAAGAAGGAGAGCTGTCCAATTTGTTCTGTCCTCCATGGTACTAGCCATCCTCTGGAGCCCTCAATGAACTGGTTATCATGTACTCCATGTGCATCTGGACATGCCATCTACTGCCCATG